TCTGAGACGATTCCTAGCTTTCGAACTACTGTTATTTGGTCACTTGAATATCATGAAGAACATCATTCTCTACTTGCTTAACTGAATAATGGTTTTAGCAGTGAGGCTCGCTAAGGAGAGAGTAATAAGAAATTTGGTGCTAAAGTCCTGAGAAGCAGCAGTAGTCCAATCTAACAATGTTATAAATAAATCCATGGGCTAAGTTGAGGAAAGAGAAGAAAAATGGAAGGGTAGATTTGGAGAAAATTGTGACCTTCGTATTAGAATGGTGTTCCTACTATGGCCAGAGGAAGTCAAGTGGCAAATGATCTTTGTTTTTGTCTGCTTTATTAGAGGCACGTACTGTGGGTATTAGTGCTTGTAAAGCACCATGTAGACTTCCATGGCTTATTTCCATTTTTATCCAAAGGTAAGAGGGAAAGAAAGTTAGGAATCTTTACACCAGATATATTTGTCTAAGATAAAAATCTAATAATATATTTGATTTACTACTGCTGCAATCCCTTTCAGTCAAGGTTGATTGTCTTCCATGACTGTCTTGTCCTTGGCTCCAAAGATAGCTGATGAGGCCAATCTAGGATTGACAGACTCTGCTGCAACTCAGGTGTCTGTTTCGGGGTGGTTTCTGGCTCTGGATTCTTGGTTCAGTATGTGACATGCTGCTTTTCCATCCCCTGTTGTCATAGAGAGTTCAAAGTACTGAGATCCTTGCAGCAGACTCTTCTTCCATTTGGGGATGGTTTTAGGTGATAGTCTCTCACAAGTTGATGTCAATGTTGCATTTTCTCAAATTGGCCTTGAGGATGTCCTTGAAGCACTTTCTCTGCCCCCCTCTTATGTGTACGCCTTCACTGAACTGGGAAATTAAGACTTGCTTTGGAAGTCTGGAGTCGGACATCTGGATGATGTGGCTGGTGCAGCAAAGATGATTTTGAATAATCATTGCCTTGATGCTTGTGGCGTTTGCTTACGAGAGGATGCTAATGTTGGTGCATATATTATCTCACTGGATTTGAAGGATCTTCTGCAGGCAGCATTAATGGTACTTTTCCAATGACTTGTGGACAATATACAGGAGATAACTCATCTCAGCTCTGTACACTGGGTCGGAATCATAACTGTTTGATAAATCATGAGCTTGGTTTTAGATCTGATATTGTGATCTTCAAACACCCATTTCCTCATGCATCCAAAGGCTGCACTTGCATTTTAAAGGAGATATTGTATTTCTTTTGATGTCAGCCTTCTGCAAGAGATAGCTTCCAAGGTACAGGCAATAATTTTTTCCAGAGTTTCACCTTATCAAGGGTTGGAGGGAGTCTGAGATAATCTTTGATTGGTTGTTGCGGGATAGAGTTGAGAGCAATCTTGTCAATAATAGAAAGTTGATTGAGAAGGTCTTCAAAATGCTCCTTCCAATGGGTGTTCATGATTCCCTTTTCTTTGAGATTCGCACATATGTTGAATCTCCTTCTCCTTGTCTTCCTACCATCTGTTCTTCATATTGCTGGTCCTACTTTGGACCCCTGCCCTGGCTTGTTGGAGATTCAATTTCTTTTGCTTGTGGTTGGTATCATTCTGCCAAGCACAAAAGGTCTTGCACTTATGGTGGATCAACTCTTAGATCTCCCAGTCATTCTCATCATTCCATGCTTGATGTTTCCTGGTAGAGAATCCAAGTGTCTGTTCACAGGTGCTGATGGTGATGAACTTGAAGGCACCCCAAGCGCTGCCAACATTCTCCCATTGTTGATTGGAATTTTGCCAGTTTTTCATTGAAGCACTGGTAGAAAATGTCATGCTTGATTGGGTCCTTGAGTCCTTTAAGGTTGATCTTTCATTGGCATTTCATCTGCTGCAGTCGTCATTTGGGTGTCCAGTTTGAGTGACAAAACTGAGTAGATGTTGCTGTTTGGTTTAGTAATCATCAGGTCCTAGCATAGCTTAGGTAATGCGCACATCTTTGCGATCCCAGACACGAACAGGATATAGTCAATCAGGTGCTGATGCTTATATTGTGGGTGTTGCCATGATGTCTTGTACCTGTTTTTCTGGGATAGCAGGGTGTTGGTGATTGTATGTTCATGTTCCACGATTTTGGTTAAGAGGAGGATGCTGCTGGAGTTATCCTTTCCTACTCTTTCTTTGTTAATGGTTCCATTCCAGAGGTTCAGGTCCCTTCCAACTCTGGGATTTGAAATCACCAAGAAAAATGTGTTTCCTTCTGGAACGTCAGAAAGGACTTGGTCAAGGTTGGTGTAGAATTCCTTCTTGGTTTCATCACTGGTGTCAGGAGTCAGGGCATATTCGCTAATGGCAGTGGCATATTTAAGATGGGGAGTCATTAAGTGCTCACTAATTCCAATAGGGAACTCATTGTATTGATTAATGAGTTCATTCTTGATGGCAAAACCAACTCCGTGAAGCCGGCATCCTCCTTCCTGTTTATACTTCCAGAAGAAGGTATAGCTGTCTCCATGTTCTTTGAGCTGCCCATCTCATACTCACAGGGTCTTGCTCAGTGCAGCGACATTGATATTGTGTCCCCTGAGTTCTTGAGCCACAATTGCCGTGCGGTACCCTGGGTGTTTACTGTTAGGTTTGTCCATGAGGGTGGTGATGTTCTATGTCCCAGAATTGAATGTGTGTCTTCTTTGATTTTTGTACCACAGTAAAGGTGATCCCACTGGATGCAGTTATCCAGTCAGGAAGAAGGTAGACAGGCTATGCTTCAGCCACCTTTTCTAGTCCCCTCCCCACGTGGGGTGAGTAGAGTGGATCCTGAAGAGGTCTGCTCTGTTGCAATGATAGCTGCTGAATCACACTCCTGTCTTCATCCAGATATTAGACGACCTTTTTATAACTGCTACCTTTATGCCATTTCATGACTAGGAGCTTCCAGACTTCACTGCCCTGCTCCCCTCTTCAATAGCTAGTCACCAAAGGGCTTGAAAAATGTGCTGGAAAAAACATTTTCATGGAAGATGCCTATGTATGATTTATTTTATTTTGGAGAAGCTGCTGCACATCAACTTCAACACAGTTGTTGACAGAATGGGACTTGAATTCAATGCCAAGGAGCCCAAGACAATTGGAGATCTCGTTCCACTGCAGCCTTCATCCATCTTCACAGCCATTGAGATTCTAACATCTCCTCGTTGCACTGTTGAGGACTTGTAGACCCATGGCTGGGGGTTGGGCAAGCTTATTATAGTGGTTACCTGTACACACCATGTTACAACACCATCAAAAGACATAGGTGCTTTTCAGGAGGGAAAGAATTGCCATCTGTTGTCCCTATCATGTCCTGGTGGTGCAGCTGCCGGTTCATCTACAACTGGCAGCAAAACTGTACTGCTACCCAGCACATCTACAGGTGGCAGATAGAGCAAGGTTAGCGGCAAAAGAAGGCAGGAGTAACTAGGGGTGTAAATACTGATTAAATAAATATTTGTTTATTTGTTGCAAAAACGATTAATTGGTCCGGCATAGAGGTGGGGGTGGGCGCCCCATGGCAATGTGAATTGTGTGGGGGAGGCCCTGCCCAACCCTGCCATGGAGGAAGGGCTGCATCCACTCACCCCCAGCAGCATGGGGAGCCAGGGGCTAAAGCAGCCCTGCCAGGCAGGCAGCACAGCCCAGGAAGCCCTGGAGGGACAAGAGTCAGCAAGGGGCTGCAGCACCCCTTCTGTCCCCTTTCCTCTTCCCCTTCCCCTCCTCCTCATCCCTCTCTCCCTCACTCCTTGTAGCCTAGCTATTAGTCACCCCTGCCCTTTCCCCACCCCTTTCCACCTCACTTCTATCTCCTCTCTCCCTCCTGCCCTGCCACTTTCCAGTTCTTGCTGGGACATGACAGTACTTCCCTTCCCTCCTAGACTGCCTGGCTCCAGGCTAAATGATAACTGGTAAGCTAGAACTGGTTATCACTGAGGTGATCGGTTAATTGTTTAACCATTCACATCCCGGGGTAAATCTGATGAATTTGATATCTGGATAGGTTACAGGGGTGGGCTAACAGTAACAGGATGCGTTTCAATACGTACAAGTGCAGGGTGCTGCACTTGGGCAGTAGGAACCAGCAGCACACTTACACAATGGGGAACTCCCTACTTGAGAGCACGGAGGCAGAAAGAGATCTTGGAGTCATTATTGACTCCAAGATGAACATGGGCCGACAATGCGAGGTCATGGTTGGCAGGGCTAACCGGACCTTGTCGTGCATCCACAGGTGCATCTCGAGTAGAGCCAAGGAGGTGATCCTCCCCCTCTACGCGACGCTGGTCAGGCCACAGCTGGAGTATTGTGTCCAGTTCTGTGCGCCCCATTTCAAGAGGGATGTGGACAACATGGAGAGGGTCCAGAGGAGGGCCACCCGCATGATCCGGGGACAACAGGGCAGACCCTACAGTGAGAGACTGCGGGACCTGAACCTATTCAGCCTCCACAAGAGAAGGCTGAGGGGGGACCTGGTGACCGTCTATAAACTCACTAGGGGGGACCAGAAGGGTTTGGGGGAGACGCTGTTTCCCCTAGCGCCCGCTGGCATAACAAGGAGTAATGGGCACAAGTTGATGGAGAGGAGGTATAGATTGGACATCCGCAAAAACTACTTCACAGTTAGGGCGGCTAGGAGCTGGAACCAACTTCCAAGGGAAGTGGTGCTGGCCCCTACCCTGGGGGTCTTTAAGAAGAGGCTGGATGCCTTCCTGGCTGGACTCATTTGAGTCCCGTTTCTTGTTTTGGGGTTTTTGTTGTTCTCCCGCCCTGGCGGGGGGTCGGGCTAGAAGATCTACTAGGTCCCTTCCGACCCTAAATCTATGAAACTATGAAACTATGATATGCAAAGTCTTGGTAAAATCCTGGGATTTTATTAAGCCACATATTTTCCCTACATCATTGTTTCAATTGCTGGTTGCAACAAACCTGAATTTTGTGTTTTGGTAGTGTGGAGGGTGTGCTGTGAACAGAATATTGTAGTTAATGTGACTGACTTGTGACAGGAGTTGGAAAAGAAAGGCGATGAAGAAGAAAAATCAGATGAAGAGAAAGAGAAAAACAAAGATAAAGACAAGGAGGATGAAGAAGAAGAAACAGCAGCCGCAGAAGAAGAATATGATGAAGAGGAGCAAGAAGAGGTATGATGGCTCTTTTAAATCTGCTAAAAGAGACAGTCTTCTTTAAAGATTTAATATAGTGGCAGGAATGATAACTGAAATCAAGCACCTTGCCACAAAGAAACTGCTAGTAAAAGTTATGCACATCATGACTTATCTTTTACCACTGTAATATAAGGCAATACTTTTGTATTGATAACTAGTTCTCCTAGTGAAAAAGAAAAAGGTGGAACTACTGACGCTTAAACTTCCCAGAAATTAAGTTTTCCCTTTTTGGTCTCCCATCAGATTAAGGAAGGAATTTGTACTGTTTGTTTCAAGATGTTAGTATTAATCAGAATACAACATGAGGCAACTAGCCTTATTTAAAAACTGTGAGAGAATGTAATGCCTCCCTCTCATCTGCTTAAATGATGTCTTAAAGTACATACCTTCACTTATGTTATATTTTCATTTAGGAAAATGACTACATTGCTTCATATTTTGAAGATGGTGATGACTTTGGTGCTGACAGTGATGACAATATGGATGAAGCAACCTATTAGTTCATATGTACTTCTTCAGCCTTTTAATACTTCCGTTTAAATAGTTTGGAGGTGGGCCAAACAACCTCAACTCTTCATACAGCTAATAAAGTTTGAAGGACTAACTACATATATGGACTTAAGTACATATGTGCTCAGAAGATTGGACACTTTGCTTTTATTATTTTATTGTGGTGAAAAATGGTAGACCAGATGCAATATTCTGCTCTTGCCAAATATTTTCCAGACAGATATTTACCACTGTAAGGTACTCTGAATCTCCCAGGTATGAAAGATGATATATGCCATTGTATTGCCGCTGCTGTACTGGAAAAGAATGTATTTTGATTGAATTGTGCCTACGCTTTTACATTTTTTTAAGTTCTGTGCATTACGGGCCACATCTTGGCTCTATTGAAATTAATAGGGAAACTCCTATGGACTTTGTTGAAACCAGGGCTTAGACCTTCCTGAATACATGCTGTTTCTGTTTAACAGTTGACTTTCTAAAGGAATTTATAAACTTCAGTATTAAGGGGATTGAACTAACACTAATCACCAAGCACTTTAATTAGCATACTAACTTGAAGGTACTTTGGTGCCATGGACTAACAGGGTAAGGAATGTTTTGAAAGGTTCTCACATTCTAGTCAAAAGGTTTTTTTTTTCTCATCAGTCGACCAGGAAAGTACAATTTTTCAAAACAATTTCTTGCTGAGTCTAAGAAGAGGCAATGAATGAGGTTAAATGGCCTCTTATGAATTACTTTGTATCAGAAGTGAAATTTGGGGCTTATTAGAGAACATGTAACTGAGGTCAAAATATGGCAGTGGGAAATCAGAAAATTCTGATTTCTAGTATTGGTTTTCAGATAGTTTTCCTTTGATGTTGAACAGGTCACTAAACCTCTCTGCCTTGGTTTCTCTATTTTTATGCAAGTATAATACTGCCTACCTCATGAACTGTTGAATTGGTATGTAAAATACTACCTGGGTAAACATTGTTTATTTAATATATGTTCCCGCATAACTATTACATGTAAGACTTGATTGAGTCTGAAACAAAAGAAATGTGGATCAAGGAAACCATCTGTAATAGAAGAGAAACATGATGGTGAGAACAATGCCATGACTTTTATTATTTTTCTGTATTTGAGTATGAATGTGTTGATTTGATCTGATCTTTCAATTGCAGTAATGTTAGGGGTTACTTATAACAACATTAGGGAGAAATAGCCTTTTCAGCTGTGTAGAGAGCAACATATGATAGTAACAGGTTCCATTTAAAAAAAAAATATTTTTGTTTTTTAATTCCAATAAAATAAATAGAAAATATTTGATCCTAAAATCTTAAATGTAAATTTGAAACTATCATATTGTCTTAGCCATAACTTTTTGTATCTTTTGAAGTGGCTACAGGAATTGTTTTCATGAAGAAGTAGTTAGAGGCTTTGTAGCATTGTCTTTAAATCCCCTTTGTGCGTAAGGAGATTAAACCTATTCTTGTGTGTATTTTTGACTTTATGCTGCTGCTTTTTTTCGTGGAATACCCACAGCTGCTGTTTTCAAGGAAAAGATGCTGAAGTATGCTAAAACAATACCAATTGGAGACCTTTTTATTTTAATTAAGGTCATGGCCATTTAAGAATTAATTTCAGAGTAATAACATAAATGAAAAATAGGAAGTGGATATTTTTCCCTAGGATTATTGATCTGGACAATATAGTATAACTAAAAGTCTTTTACCTGTACTTTTGTCATCCCTTAATGGCACAAATTGGATCTGTGTTAGCTGATCAGATTGGTGCTTTCTTTTCCATCCAGTGTTATAAATGCTGGTAACATCATCAATGCTTGGAAAGTATAAAGATCTTCTCGCCCAATGAGAAATTGTTTTTCAGCTTGAAAAATATCTCCAGTTTTTAGTTTTAAAAATGGAATGTAAGCCTTTTAAAGCTTCCTTTCTTGGTTGTTGGGGCATGTTTGCCAAATACTTTTCCTTGGTGCTGACTGAATTCTGAAATTATTTTGAATAATCTATAGAACACTTCTACTTGCATTGAGTGCTTGCATAACTTAGGGCATGGCTGCATTTTTTTTTTTCTGATTTGGTTAAAATGTTCTCATTTAAAAAAATAAAAAAGTAATTCTAAAAAATAAGAACTAAATATAATGCAGGGTGTACATCAAATGTATATTTAAACTTTATTCTTAAATGCTTAATTGCTATGCAAGACTATATTGTAAATCAGTGTACAATAATTTGTTTCTGCAATAAATTATTTTCTGTATTGCACAGGAAACATACCATGTTCCTTGTATCCTAACTAATAATAAGAACCTAAAAAATAATGCTTGTTTGTTTACTTACTTTTAAAGACTCTGGTCACAAAAACTATATTTAATGCAAGCTTCGGTGGCTACACAGACCTATATCTGTTCTCTCCCATGGATTTCTGCATATTTTGCACCTGGGCTCTTTAACTACACCATCCAAGGAAGAGATGGGTACAGTAAATGTCAAAAGGCCACACAGAAAACTCTTGCTTATTTATCAGAGCTGGTAGTAGCTGTAGCTAGTTCTTAAAACAGCCAGGCTGCCATGGATCTATCAACAACCAGTTCGTTTTCATGAGAAGTGCAACATTTTTAAGTTGCTGTCCAATACAAAGCAATTACCATGAAATGAAAAGCCAATTAAGCTCTGATACCATCAGAAGAATGACATAATGGAGAAGAGACTATAAGAAGCTACTATGTTTCATTATCCACAGGTAAGAATTTTAACTAAAACAACAACAAGGGAAATAGCAGGGCACAGCTCCTTCAGATGTTTTGAGTAGAAGCTGATAAAAATGTCTTTTGTCTTAGATATCCACAGACTTCTATGATCTGTACAATGCCGGCCATAAGACCTGGAATCCTTGACTTCTTTTCGTTGTCTCAAAAGACTTCCATTTTCCATGTTCCAAAGTAAATGGTCAAATGAGTTATATTTATAAATGTGACCTCCAGACCTTAAATACTCAGAAACAGCATCTTTGCTAATAATATTACATGCTTCTACTTTGTTCATCAGACATCAGTGCAAAAGCTGAAATTACTGCCTTAACTATTCCAGCAGCTGCCAGCGCCCAGGGATTGTAGCAAAAGGATAAATGTGCATATAGTATATTTAACTACATGAAGAAAAGGGCAGGGTTAATTTGTAGGCGGATGCATATTCTACCTAGGTAACAATATCCTTGACTACATAAACTCACTACTCTAATGCTTCTGATCAGATCATTGCTGCAGGTGAAACTGCTTGGTTCCATGGGTTGGATCTGGCTTGCTGATTCCTACTGTAGTTGGTAATAGCTCTTCTTTTGGAAGGCAATCTTTTGTGTCATCCATGAACAAGTTGGTAGGAGGCATTGAAAACCACTGTTTGTGTTCAGCAATCTGGCTATTATAGAAACCAAGGAGTGAATCTGAAAGTTGCTCCTGCTCTGTAAATGAAATGTAAGAACAAATTTTAAAAAATGTGAATTAGTTCACCCTCGTGCCCAGAACTGATACTGAAACAAGACTAGTTAATGCACTTAGGAAATGTGCTTAGAAATTGAACAAAGCCACAGTTCTGAAAAACTCTCTCACTGGAACAAGGAATTCAGCTAAGGGACTCAAGCTAAGCTGTATGGGTATGACATAAAAACGTGAGTAGTGCCATACTGGGTCAGACCAATGGTCTGTCCAGCCCAAGATCCTGTCTATGAGTGTCTTCTGTGGTCTCCCTTATTAAGAGAGGCTTATAATTTTTTGTGATTGACTAAAGTCTATGACCCTTGGCATATCAAATAGGCCTGTCTATGGGTAGCAGGAATGGATGCTTTGAGGGAGAACATTGAACTGGGTATATCTAGACAGAGCAACGATTCTCAACCAGGGTGTCACAGCACTCGGGTGCCTTGAGGCCCTTTCAAGAGTGCCACATATTAGCACTGTTAGGTTTACAAACATGATTTACAAGATAAACCAAGTGTTTTCCAGTAGAAACCCATAGTTGTTGTCTTTCCAAGTTCTTTACAACAGAAAAAGTGCTTCTATTATTTTTCAGCAGGGAAAACAGTGAGAACTAAGAGCTGGTATTTTCCAAGGAAGAGTTTGAGTTTAAATGGTGAGAACCACCAATCTAAAGTTATCAATGCCATGTTCATAACCCTCCCAGGCATCCACATTCATTGGTTTAGAGATACCAAAAGATACATCTTTGACTGCTCTGTTGAATAGCTGTTAGACTTATTGTCCATGATTTTGTCTAGTCTATTTTTTTAACCTGGCTATTGTCTGCCTCTAGAGCACCTCCTGTGGTAATGAGTTCCACAAATGAACTATGCTGTGTGAAAAAGACTCTCTCCCGTTAGTTAGCCCTGACTCCCACAAATTTCAGTGGGTTCCCCTTAGTCCTTGTATTCTGGATCTTGGTGAATAACAGTTGCATATTCACTTTTGTCCACCCCCTTCACAATTTTCTCCATCACAGCCAGCCTTCTCCTTTTCAAACTGAAGAGTCCTAGCCTTTGTAGTTTCCCTTGCTATGGCAACTGCTCCATACTCTGATAGTTTTATTTCCCCGTCACGTAGAGAACTGAAATCACGTTGTTTTTCCTTTATTGAAATTTGAACATAGACTGTAATTCTGCTAGTACATTGAATTAAACCAGTTAATCAATTAAAAATCTTTTGCAAGTGCAAATTATTTATGAAGTAAAATGGGATTCAGATATAATCTCTGAGTATGACACGTAAAGGTTGGTTAATATGCCACTATGCAGAGAAACTTCCATCTGGAAGGACTTTCTAGAATTGTATTAATGTTCTTGTTTCTTCAAAACCCCTCACTCCTTTTTAATAGGGTAATTATTTTCAGAAATTTCACAGTGGGTAAAAGGCTACCCCTTAAGTGATCTGGATTTATGTCTACTTATAAATGAAAGCGTGAATAATTAAAGTGTGTTCTATCAATACATGCTAGGTGTGCATGTTATACTCCAATCTAACCAGACAAATGAAGATATTTAATGACCCAAGAAATGTAGCCTTAGATTGTACATAGTGTGTGTGTAACTTATTAATGAAGTAAGGAGATATACAGAGAAAAAGAACATGTTTAAGTTAACAAGCTTTCATTTTAAAAAAAGTTTATTTTTTTTAAGAGTACTCAGAAACCCTTCTAAAATACGAAGCAATTAAAAGCAGACTTTTTTTTTTATAAGAGATTTACATCTTCAATCCAGGATTTTTCTAGAAATACTTACATATTAAGCCTGTATCAAATATGTTTTTGTTATATAAAGACCACTTGTGGCAAGGTATTCCAAAATATAGCAGACTTAAATAAAAGTTTACATGATCCAACAGTGCAATATGCACTTAAATTAAAAACTGACTTCCTGAGCAGCAGCATATTGTATCGACTAAGTTAAAGCAAGATTTGCCACTCAAGTACACCATCTCTAATAAGTCTTTCTATAATTTTTACAAAACTAATTTTACCACAGCACTTAAATCATTCAGTTATGTAGAAATCTGTTCTATAGAGTGCAATCAGATTAATATTTAGTGGTATAACTAACCAAAGATGCTGCATTGTTGGTCATCTAGTAGCTAGAAAACAAGACGATTGTACAGAATGAGAGCAC